CGCCCCCACCTCACCCTGTCACTCTCCCCCCCCTTCAGGGGCAACGACAGGAGGGGGCAGGCATGGAGGGGGGGGAGCATCGACATGGAATCGGCGATACATCGCCGATAGATCGGCGATGGGCCCACCGATAGTGAATCCGCACGTTCCTGGGCGGGGTGGGGCTATCAGGCCCTCATCGGGGATCAATGGGCGATTGGGAGTCGATGCGTCCCCCAATATGCCTATCCCCCTAATCGTTGCCCCTCCCCCCTTTAAGATGCGCCCTCGTCCTCCTCCTCCTCCTCCCTCCTCCTCCTCCTCCTCCTCCGCCTCCTCCTCCTCCTCCTCCTCCTCCTCCTCCTCCTCCTCCTCCTCCTCCTCCTCCTCCTCCTCCCCCTCCTCCTCCTGCTGCCCCTCCCCCATTTAAGGTGCGCCCGGTCGCACTGGCGCAGCCCGCGTGGCACGCGAGCAAGCAATCTTGAGAGAGGCGGTGCCCAGCCCGGGAGACTGGTCCTTGGGGTGGATGCCGATGGCGTTGTTGATCACGAACTCCTTGGAGTTTACAGTCAACTCTGCTCTTCCTCCTCCTCCTCCTCCTCCTCCTCCTCCTCCTCCTCCATCTTTCCCTCCCTCCCTTCCCCTCCCCTTCCCTTCTCCTCCACTTCACAATTACACAACATGAGTACTACTCTCCTCTCTCCCCTGGTGGCGTCCGGGAAATATTCGGCACCCTCCGCGAACTGGATTTTTTCACACAAGATTCCCGGGAAACTGGTTTTCGCTTAGGTGTTTTTTTCAAAATCATACTCTCTCTGGAGCGCTGACCTCAGTCTCGGGCTGCCGCTCGTTCCGAATCGTGTTCCCGCTGCAGCGCTGGCCTCAGTTCCGCGCTTCCGCTCGTTCCGAATCGCGCTCCCGCTGCAGCGCTGGCGTCATTATTTCCACCACCATGCCACGGCATCGGTCCTTCCAAATAGGCCCCATTTCTTTAATAAACAACAAAAAAACGAAGAAACCATCGGAAGTGAACACACATTCGGTGTCGATTCGCTGATTTGCTGGGCCGCAAAAGGACTCCCCCCCTTTTGCGGAGTCGCCACGCCATGCTATGTCACGCTAAGCGTCCTCATTTCCACGCTTCCGCGCTTGGGTTTGTTTGTCAAATGCTACTCTCGCTGAAGCGCTGGCCTCAGTTTCGGGCTATCGCTCTTTCCGGATCGTGTTCCCGCTGCAGCGCTGGCCTCAGTTCCGAGCTTCCGCTCGTTCCGAATCGCGCTCCCACTGCAGCGCCAGCGTCATTATTTCCAGCGCCATGCCACGGCATGGTCATGAGACGACAGAGTCGGGCCAGGAGCCTATGGCCCAGGAGTTTGGCCCTGGGTCCTGGATTCAGAGAACAAGGACTCTTGAACACTCGTATCCACCCTTATGTTTTCTGATAGCCGACGCCTCGGGCACTGGAACCTAAGGCCCTGGGACCCTGGGACTACGTATCCTGGGCCCTGCAGACGGAGGCCCGGGAGTCCTGGGTCCAAAAAGCTTGGGACACGGCGTCAAGGGCACATGTGTCCTCGGGCCCTGGCATGCCAAACACAGGAGCCCTCGACCCTGGAATCTCGAGCTCATGAGTTCTGGACTCAAGAGTCCAAGGCCTAGCTGCGAAGTCTTCGGCTCTGGAATCTACGGCAATTTTGCTGGGGGGTTCTGGATTCTCGGGCCCTGGAATCGCAGGGCACTCGGCGACCCGCGACGCGCGGGCGGGTCACCCGATCCGGTTGATCACCGTCAAGGATTCACTCTAATTCTCAGGCCATCATGGCGACTTCTCTATTTCAACGACATAGAATTCCCCAACGCGCGCGCGCACGATCGGGTGACGCACGCGCGGGCGGGTCATCCGAAATTCCGTTGGTCACCATTCAGGGCCCACTTCAATTTCCACGCCACCGTGGCAACTTCTCTAGTTTCGACTATGCAGACTTCCCCAACGTGCGCGTCCGCACGCGCGCGCGATCGAACGCGCGGGCGGGGCACCTGAAATACGGCTGGTCACCGTTAAGGGATCACTTTAATTCCCAGGCCACCATGGCGACTTTTGCATTGTGGGGAATACAGAATTCCCCACGCGCGCGTCCGCGCGAGCGGACGATTGGATGACCAACGCGCGGGCTGGTAACACGAAATCCCGTGGGTCACGTTTAAGGGTTCACTGTAGTTCCGAGGCAAACATGATAATTTTTCCATTGAGGGCATTGCAGAATTCCCCACGCGGTCGCCCGCACGCGCGCGCGACTGGGTGACCGACGCGCGGGCGGGTCACCCGCCATCCGGGTGGTCACCGCTGAAGTTCACTTTAGATTTCAGGCCAGCATGGCGACTTCCCGTCGCGACAATACAAAACTCCCCACGCGCGCGTCCGCGCGCGCGAGTGGGCAACCGACGCGCCGGTGGGTCACCCGACATCTGGCTGGTCACTATCAAGAGATCACACATGGCCACATGGCAACTTTTCCGCTGTGGACATGATCGAACTCCCAACGCGCGCGTCCGCGCGCGCGAGCGCGATCAGGTGACCCACGCGCGGGGGGGCCACCCGAAATCGAATTGGCCACCGTTAAGCGTTCACGTGAGTTTCCAAGCAAACATGGCCTCTATCCCACTGTGGACACTACTGACGAGCGAGCTGGGTCACCTCAAATCTGGCTTGTCACGGTTAAGGATTTACTCTAGTTCTGAGGCCACCATGGCAACTCGTCCATTGCGGACAAATACACAATTCACCGCTCGCGCGTCCGCGCGCGCGCGCGATCGGGTGACCGACGCGCGGGCGCGTCACCCGAAATCCGGTTGGCCACGGTTAAGGGTTCATTCCGATTTCCAAGCCAATATGGTGACTTTTCCCTTGTGGACACTACAGAACTCGTCACGCGCGCGCCCGCGCGGGCGCGATTGGGCGACCGACGCGCGGGCGGGTCACTCGAAATCCCGCTGGTTCGAATTAGGGTTAACTTTAGTTTCCAAGCTAAGATGGACACTCCTCCATTGTGGACAATACAACGTCCCCCACGCGCGCGTCCGCGCGCGCGTGCGCGATCGGGTGGCCCACACGCGGGTCGAAATCCGGTTGGTCACCGCTAGGGATTCACATTAGTATCCAGGCCAACAAGGCGACTCTTCAATTGTGGACACTACATAAATCGCCACGCGCGCATCCGCGCGCGCGCGATCAGGCGATCGACGCGCGGGCGGGTCACCCGAAATCCGGTTGGTCACCCCGTTAAGGTTCGACTTAGTTTCCGAGCAACAATGGCGACTTCTCTAATGCGGACAATGCAAGATTCCCCACGCGCGCGCCCGCTCGCGCGCGATCCGGCGACCCACGCGCGGGCGGGTCACCCGAAATTGGGTCGGTCACTGTTCAAAGTTTACATTAGTTCCCAGGCCAACATGTCGACTTTTGCACGCGGCGCCAGGCGCGCGTCCGAGCACGCGCAAGCGCGATTTAATCACACACGCGCGGGCGGGTCACACGACATTCGGCCGGCCACCGTTAACATCTTTAAAACAGAAAAATCCACATTAACATGCCGACTCCTCCATTGTGGACGCTACAGAATTCCGCGCTCGCGCGTCCGCGTCCGCGCGCGCGCGCTCCGGTGACCCACGCGCGGGCGGGCCACCTGAAATCCAGTTGGCCACCGTAAAGGGTTCACTCTAATTTCCAAGCAACCTTGGCAATTTCCTTCGTAGACAAATCAGAATTCCCCACGCGCGCGCCCGCGCGCGCGCGCGAGCGCGATCGGGCGACCGACGCGCGGGCGGGCGCCCAGAATCCCGTTGGACACCGTCAAGGGCGATCTTCGGTTTGCAAGCCAACATTGGGGAAAAATCATAGCGAACACCGAAGAACTCACAACGCGCGCAACCACGAGCGCGCGGTCGCGCGACCGCCGCGCGGGCGGGCCACCCGACATGCGGCTTATCACGGTTAAGGGTTCACTCTGGTTTCCAAGCCACCCTGGCGACTTTTCCATCGTGGGCAATACAGAATTCCCCACGCGCGCGTCCGCGCGCGCGCGAGCGGGTGGCGCACGCAGCGCGAGGCGATGCATTCCCTCTCAGAACGTTTCCCCTTCGGCGCGCCCTGAGACCCCGTCGTTGGCCGTCTGCGGCCGCGTCCTGCTGCTGGGTTAGATTCTGTTCTTGCTCAGAACCCAAAAGGAAAAACGAAGCGGCAAACGAACCGAATGCCCGATCGACGGCCGAGGCCGCGGCAGACGCTGGGGCCCCGGCTGAAAATCAGGCCAAGATCGCAACAATCAAGGGGGGGGGGACAACGAAACGAAAAACGAAACGAACGACCGGAAACTATGGCCAGAGCAAGGAGCGACAGAGACGAATCGAAAAACGATGCGAAATACAAACGAAACGAATGCCCAGAAGCATGGATGGGGCCACGGCAGAGGCCGCGGCCCACGCTGAAGCTCCGGTCAGGAGTGCAACAAAAGAGCAGGAACAACAACAGCGAATAATAAAACTGAACGAACGCCCAAAAACTACAGCTCGAACAAGAGGAAAATATCACTGGGCCACGGGCCGCCGATTAAGAACACCAGAAGCAACAACAGAACGAAGAACGAAACGAAACACGAACCAACCGACGGCAGCGCAGCGGAACGCAAACAGAAACTCGAAAGACGACGGCGGCGCGAGAAGAAACGAACAACGGAATGAACCGCCCAATGAATAGAACACGCAATACGAAAAATGAAACGCAACATTGGAACCGCGACAAAGCAGAACGAAAAACGAAACGCGCACCAAAAAAACAGTCAACACCCAAACGAGACATCAAGGCAAACGAACAACACAACGGAAGCACACCGAAAAAACATAACGAAAAACGAAACAAGGGCCAAAACCCATTAAACAGCGTTGCGGGCGGAATCCCATGGAGGACTCGAGGGGGAATCGCATTGCGAACCCAATTAGAAATCCTAACGGGGGGAGGGGCTTCTGGGGGGATCCCACGGGGGAATCCGAATTCAATTAGAGTCAAGTTGGGATCTGATTGAAATCTTCAAGATCTGCAATTCTAAAAGATCCTACAACAACTGGCTACACCCGTGCGCGTGCGTGTGCGTGCTCGTGGTTGCGTGTTGTGTTCGTGTGTTCGTGCGTTCGTGTGTTGGTGTGTTTGCGTGTTTGTCTGTTTGTGTGTTTGCGTGCGCGCTCGTGTGTTTGCGTGTTTGTGTGAATGTGTGTGTTGTGTGTCTGTGTGATTGTGTGATTGCGTGTGTTTGCGCGTTCGTGCGCCTGCGCGTTTGTGGGTTCGTGCGTTTGTGCGCGCGTTGCCGCGCATCCTGCGTGCGCTTGCGCGTGCATGTGCGCGTTTTACCCCGCATCCGGCGCCCTGGAGCCCCTTTCTCTCGTCTTCCCGAGTGCCGCCCCGAAAACGCGACGCACAGTTGCGCGACGCAGCGATTCGCACGCCCACCAAAGGGGGGGGAGGTGGGGCCCATTCCATGGGGGGGGCGGCGAGGGCCCGCGCCGATCGGCAAAACAACGAATCAGACTACGATAACCTTGCAGGCCCCCCCCCCCCACCCCCCATTCCACAACTGCCCCGACGCCCCCGCGGCGACTCGCGGTCGCCGCTACCCACGAGGCAACGCCGAAAAGGTGAGAACCCCAGACGTTCCAATACGAGAGGAAGCGACTGATGCTGCTTGGCGACTTCGCGCTGCCATTAAATTCGTAGCACCCAACAGATGCGGATGAGAGTGAGAGGGCAACGAGGACGTCGGCAATACGCAAGACTCCGGAGAAGCCCGCCGCAGGCGCCAAAATGTCACAAATTGCCCCCGCCGAATGCGCTGATATTTCCTTCAAACCAACGTGGATCGGTCGCGGGTGGGTCGCGGGCGGGTCGCGGGCTCGGTCGCGGGCGGGTCGCAAGTGGATCGCGGAAGGGTCGCAAGGTGGGTCGCGGGAGGTTCACAAGTGGGTCGCGGGTGGGTCGCGGGTAGGTCGCGGGGTGGGTCGCGGGTGGATCGCGGGCCGGTCGCGGATGGGTCGCGGGTTGGGTCGCGGGCGGGTCGCAAGGCGGGTCGCGGGGTGGGTCGCGGGGCGGGTCGCGGGGCGGGTCGCCGGGCGGGTCGCGGGCGGGTCGCGGGGGAGACGACGACCACAATCAACTGTAATAAAGACAACAACAACAACAACAAGCACAAGCACAACAACAACAACAACAACAACAACAACAACAACAACAACAACAACAACAACAACAACAACAACAACAACAACGACAACGCAACCAACAGAACCCTCACCACGGGTTCCCACTTCAGCCACGCACCCAGGGACGATGAATGACAGCTCGGGCCCCCCACTCCGGTCATCGCCGGGGCCCCAGATGGGGGGCTGGGCCTCCCGCAGGGTTCGGGATCGCAAATCCACGGGAGACGGCACTGAAGGCCCCCCCCCGCATGGTGAACCAAAAGGCAAGCGGTTGAAACACTCGCTGCTTGGACCACAGTGACCGTCGCGACTGCAGCCTGAGGACGGGTCCTGGTCGCGGTTGCAACATAATCGCGCGACAGAGGTGGCGCACATGCATGCTTCGCACTTGTCCCTGAAATAACCCCCAAAATTCAAACAGCAATTTGAACCGTAAACTCGGGAGCCATGACACGGACCTGCCTGGCCTGTAGGCTGAGGCTCATTTGCTGTGAATCATCATCGGATGTGCTGTCGGCGCTCGTATTAATGCTCGTGCCAGACGGGGAGTCATGCTGTGGCTGACGGCGGGAATGCTTCGCCTCGAAGTGCCTCTGCTTCGCGACGGCTGCCATCGTGGCACTGTTCTGCAGCAGCCCTGTCTCGTCCTGCTCATCCAGAGCACACCCTTGCCCTGCCAGACAGGCGTCCTCCGATTCACTTGCCAGTACCAGCGCGGGCAACAGAGTGGCGAGGCGGAGCGCCATGTCCGGGCACACGAGAAACATGTCCTTTTCTGGTATGCGCGAGGCGCCCGCACTTCAAACCGTTTGAGAACCAAAATAGCTTGAGCCCAAAAAATGGCGCTCAGTCCCTCCCAAGGAATACCAACATACAGTACAAGCACATCGTTTCTTGAAGCAGGAAGGCGCTAGAAGCAAGTTGGGATCTGGGAGTCCCAGAACACCTACTTCCAACGACCAGCGTGTATCACTTCCTTGTCCCAGACAGTATTCGCACTTAGGGTTCCTCACTTCTGTTCGAAATCATTCCCCCTCCCCTTCCCCCTCCCCCTCCCCCTCTTCCTCCTCCTCCTCCTCCTCCTCCTCCTCCTCCTCCTCCTCCTCCTCCGGCTTGCGGGCCGCTCTGCACGCCCTGTGCCCACCGTCGCCGCCTCGTCGCCGCCTCGTCGCCGCCTCGCCGCCCGGGGCTGCGGGCATGCGGCCGTCGTCGCCGCGTCGTCGCCGCCCACCGCCCCGTCGCCGCATCGCTTCGCCTCGCTGCGCCTTGCTGCGCCTTGCGTCGCCTTGCTTCACCGTGCTTCGCCCTGTTTCGCCTTGCTTCGCACTGCTTCGCGCTGTTTGGCATTACATTGTGCTTTGCGTCGCGTTGTGATTTGCGTCGTTGCATAGCGTTGCAATCGCACTGCTTTACTATCGCGTCGCATTGCGCTGCTGTTCTTTGGTGTTGTTTGCTGTGCCCATGCTTTGCCTTGCTCTGAATAGTTTCGCATTGCTTTGCACTGCTTTGCATTATGTTGCGCTGCTTCACGTCGCTTTGTTTTTGCTGTGCGTTGAGTTGCGCGTGGTTTGCATTTATGTGCGTTGCTTTGCGTTGTATCACGTTGTCTGTATTGCTTGGCATTGCTTGGCGCTGCTCTATATTGATGTACATTGTTCTGCGTTGACTCGAATTGTATTGCGTCGCTTTGCATTGCATTATATGGAGCTGCAGTGTGTCCTTTTACGCTGCTTTGTACAGCTTCGAATGAACGGGCGTGATGCTAGGAACTACAAAGGATACATACTCATGGCACTCGCGACGACTGAGACCCTGTTGATGTCACAACAGCTGCTACACAGCACAAGGAATGATCGGAGTGAGCGACCCGCTGCTACAGAGCACGGGAACAGTCGACCCTCGGCCGAGCATCGAATGCTGCCACGTAGCGGCCAACCGCTGTCGGCCATCTCCGGATGCAGTGCTATCTGGGTGGGAGTCCCTGGGGCGAAGATGAGGAGGGGTATACGGAGGAGGAGGAGGAGGAGGAGGAGGAGGGGTAAAGGAGGAGGAGGAGCCCCCCAGGGGCATCGTGAGAGGTGCTCTGAAGGCCGCGGGGGGGTCCTTGGAAACCCTGCGGGATACTGGAGCCCGGGACCCCTGTGGCAACCCCTGACGATCACGGAGGATCCCTGCCCTCCAGCATCGGGAAACTACGAATTGATATTAGAGGCCTCCTAGCAGGTAGGGTCCGAGCACATGGAGCCCGAGGATCGCGCCGCATCGCGGACGCATCGCCAGCGCATCGGCGATGCATCGGAGATGTCGGAGGCGCCTTGGCGACGCCAGCGCGGAGAAAACCTGGTCCCACATCGAGCCGCATCGGCGATGCATCGCCGATGCGACACGATCCTCCGACCCCATCTACTCGAATCCCGTCTGGTCGGTCTAGACATACCTAGCTCTGCCCGAGGCTCGGGGGGACAATCACCTGGATTCCGCGCAAGCAACACTGACGGGGTGAATTCGGCTTTTAATACGAAGCCAGGACAATAATTATTTCGGGCGAGGATAAATCGAGAACCTCTGAGATCCCGCGGATCTGGAGCATGCCTCGGGCGCCGCGGCCTTCTCAGAGCGCGCCAGAATGCTGTTTGAGAGCGTCCTGGAACGCTCTGGAACGGATTGATCCTCGTCCTAGCCGCAGGTCGGGCGTGTCCCCCTACAGGCGGATTTTGGGCGAAAAACAAAGTTGCTCCAAAAGTAAACCAGAAGAGTCCAAACATAATCGAAAATGATCCCCTATATCTTTTCCTATTTCTGAAGATTCCTCCTGTGGAGGACAGGCCCGACTGAATCCCAGCCCCGCCCACGTGTTGCCGATGCAGACATCGCCCGCGCCCGCCTCCTCGGGCAGCAGGAGAGCACGAAGTCCGCAGGGCGCGCGCGCGGCGCGCGCGGCGGGGCCCGCCCGCGCCGCGGGCCCTCGGGGGCACCCCCTCTGGTCCCTCCTCCCTCCGCCCTCCTCCCTCCTCCATCCCTCCTCCCTCCTCCCTCCTCCCTCCTCCCTCCTCCATCCGTCCTCCGTTCTTCCTCCTCCGTCCCCCCTCCTCCCTCCGCAATTACTCAATATGCATACTACTCTCCCTCTTCCCCTGATGACGGCTTGAAAGTGTCCGTGGACGGACCCCTGGCGTGGCCCTCCCGCGGGGACCAAGCCGACCGGCGGCGGCGCCCACCCGGACGCGAGGCTAGCCCGCCCGCGGACCCGGCGGCGCCCGGAGCTCCAGGCGCGCGAGGCCGATGCCGTCGTTCGGGATCTGCCCGAACTCGAACGCCGCCGAGGGGTTGCCTGAGCAGGGGAGGGAGGAGGGAGGAGGAGGAGGAGAAGGAGGAGGACCAGGGCAAACCCAAGAGTCCTCAACGATGCTGGACTAGACCCTCCCTCCAAGCTCCCTCTTCACAGGCACCTGAAACAATGCATTCCCATTGAGGGAACTGCCTCGTTGGAAGACACCCGTTTGAAGACCTTGACGCATGCCGAAACATTGTGCTCGGGGTTCCAACGCCACGGATCAACCTGATTGTTGCGTCTGGACGATTCTGAATCGGGCCAGAACGTCGCTCCTGGGACTTGATTACAGCAAATCGACGAAGCTTGTGCACCGGCGTAACCCCGAATCCTTCCAAAACATAATTTCTGGTACGTTGATCATGGGAATCCGTGACACTCTTGCAAATGATTTCAACGAATGTGCGCGGCGCGAAGGCGAGAACTACATGTTTAAAAGGAACCGCCCTTAATCCGTGAAACTTCCGCAATTTGTTGAAACGCATGTGCGCGGCGGTAGAGTGAGAGCCACATTTTGAAAACGGCCCGCCCTCAATCCGTGAAGCTCTTGCCAATGTTATAAACGAAGGTGCGCGGCGCTGGGGCGAGAATTACATTTTGAAAACCACCCGCCCTCCATCCGTGATGCTCTTGCACATGTTTAAACTCATGTGCGCGGCGCTAAGGCGAAAACCACATTTTGAAAACGACCCGCCCTCAATCCGTGAAACGCTTGCAGACGTTTAAAACGAATGTGCGCGGCGCTCAGGAGAGGGCCACATCTTGGAAACCACCCACCTTCCAGATGTGAAACTGTTGTCAATGCTCAGCTTCATAATCATGCATGGTGAGGACGTCTCAGGCGACACGCCTGGCCCGCCCTAACATCTGGCCTCGGGGTGCGACAGGGAGAAATGAAGTAGAAGGAAAAGAAATAGAGGAGGGGGAGTCGGAGGAGGGGGGGGCAGGAGGGGGAGCAGGAGGAGAAGCAGAAGGATAACGATGATCCTGCCTGGTCCTCCTGCTCCTCCTCCTCTCCTCCTCCTCCTCCTCCTCCTCCTCCTCCTCCTCCTCCTCGTCGGCTCCTCCCTCCTCCTCCTCCTCCTCCCCTCCTCCTCTCCTTTTCCCCTCCTCCTCTTCCCTTCTCCCTCCCCCTCCCTTCTCCTTCCCCCCTCCTCTTCCTCCTCTCCTCCTTCCTCCTCCTCCTCCCTCCTCCTCCTCATCCTCCTCCTCCTTCGTTCTTCTCCTCTTCGACCTTTCTCCATCCTCATTCCTCCCTCCTTCCTCCTCCTCCTCCTCCTCCTCCTCCTCCTCCTTCTTCACCTCCTATTCCTCCTATTCCTCCTCCTCCTCCACCTCTCCTCCTCATTCCTCTCCTCCTCACTCCTCCTCCTCCCTCTCCTCCTCATCAAAATGTTTCTCTCCTCCTGCTCCTGCTATCCTCCTCCTGCTCTGCTCCCTCCTCCTCTCCTCCTCTCCTCCTCCTCCTCCCTCCTCCTCGTCCTCCTCCTCCTCCTCCTCCTCCCTCCTCCTCCTCCTCCTCCTCCTCCTCCTCCTCCTCCTCCTCCTCCTCCTCCTCCTCCTCCTCCTCCTCCTGCGCCTGCTCCTTCATCCTTCCTCCTCCCTCCTCTCGGGCAATCCCGAGGAGGAGGATCTGCGCGAGCTCGAGCGCCGCCGCCGAGCTTCCAGAGCAGCAGGCAAGTCTGGTTCCCATACCTCAGACGTCCTGATAGACCACAGATCAAAACAGCGTGTGCCTCGCCAAATTCGGCGCACGAGGGCCGTTTCTGACTTGGCCGAGGGGGGCGTCAAGAAGCCGTCCGTGACCAATAGCCATAAACGCACGCGGGCGCTGCGGCAGTGCCGGGGGTGCACTGCAGGGAGGGGGGAACAGGGCGCTACGTCATGGAGGAGGAGGGGGGGAGGGGACCATAATGCGCTTTGTGGCCAAGGTCGAACATCTCCCTCGTCCACCGACCTCCTCCTCCTCCTCCTCCTCCTCCTCCTCCTCCTCCTCCTCCTCTTCCTCCTCCTCCTCATCCTGCTCCTCCCCCTGTTCCTTCTCCTCCTCCTCCTCCTCCTCCTCCTTCTCCTCCTCCTCCTCCTTCTCCTCCTCCTCCTCCCCCTCCTCCATCTCCTCCTCCTCCTCCTGGCCAACAGCTGCTCATGAAGGGCCCAAGCTGGCCTGCATAACTGCCGCAAGACGGCCGAGAGCCGCCGCAACGCTGTGAGACCAATCGCGTCATCACGGAACAGCCCCGCTGGGGTCTTCGGAAACACGCAAGCCTCCAGGATAGACTCTAGGCGTCGTGCTGATCTTTCGGCGGCGAGCCCATGGGGGGAAGTGCGAAGGGGCGGGCCTTCTGAGAGGGCTCAGAAGTCCCCCAATTTCCAAGGAGCTCCCTGGACCTTCCCCGAAAGCACGGACACCTTCTCGGAAGGCGCGAGGGCTTCTGAGAAGTCCCGCCGCCTTCTGAAACAACCTTCTCCTTCTCACT